ACACAAACGAAGGAGTCTGGCCTCTCAATTTGCTCCAGCTATTTTGGCAACTTTAAAGCACTTGAGGTTGAGAGGATCTGCACTGTAAATATTGCGTTCTTGTATACCTTTGTTGTTGTTGTTGTTGTTATTATTATTACTACTATTAGGATTAGGATGTTTTGTTTATTTAATCCCATATGGATTAGTCACAGTAAACCATACCACATATTAGACTCAAACTAAAGAAAGCAAAAAGCACAAATGACACTCTGCTATCAGTTTAAGTTTAAACTCAGGGACTGCCAAACGTGAGCGAGAAGGTTTGATGCTGACAAGTGTAGAAATCCCTTTTCCTGTATGAAATATTACGTTTTAATAGCCTATAACACTCATGGTTCTATCCTCCCTTGCCCTCTCAAACATTGACTTGCAGATTAAGTAGTACTCAAATCTTTTGTGGTCAGCATATAGTAGTAATATTATCATGTGTGTTGTGGTGAGATAGTGTTAGTAACTTAACTGTAGAAAGCCAAGACGTATTTAATTGAAATACTTGTTTATCAATTATGTATTAATTTGTGAGGTGACTTATAGCTGACATCTCGTATACTGAGGACGATGAAGATTGTGCCATAGACATAAGTGATGGTGATGATGATGAGGAACTTGAAGGTAAAATTATATTTTTTCTTTTTAAATCAGAAATAAGGATGACAATGTGTTAACCGGTAAATCATTGACACAATTATTTGCTCTTCTGTAACAGCAAATTAAGGGACTTCATTGAGAATCTTCAGGTTTATTTAAAATTCACAGCTTTAATCCACGATGTGAACAAAGATAAAAACATTCATGTAAGATTGCGATAATATCACATTTTCTTCCTTCATTAGTCTAGCACTGATAGAAGCACACACTGTTTAGTAAACCACACTAGATTAGCCTTAAATGTCTGCTTAGTTTTAATAATTAAATCAAATACTAAGGTTCCCATGAGAAAAAAATGTATCCACCAATTTCTGCTCCACTGAAAAACAGCTTGGAAAAGCTCCCAGTCTTTTCTCAGTGATTGTCAGTCCATTGGTCAGCTGTCTGAGATCAATGTCTCTAGACAGCCTTCGTCTAGACAAACAGCCCCGCTGTCCGCCATTTAGGGTCATCCACATCCAGCTCTCCAAGCACACTCTCTTAGTCTCAGTTAATGACATCGGTTTGTCCTTCCTCACTCAATGGCTGCCACTGCACCACAGAACCAGCGTGCACTTGATATGATGGTGTGTTTGAGGGTATGTATTTGTGTGTGTGTTGGTGCGTGCTACAGGTGGGAAGATTGGTCGACTAATTGATTAGTCAATCCACAAATGAATAATTAACTATTATGATCATCTATAATCAATATTTTGTATGCAAAGATGGCAATTAAAAGAAAGAAAATACCCATATATCAAAAACTGAAAACGTAAAAATTACGTTTTCAGTTTTTGATATATGGGTATTTTATTTCAGATATTTAAAAGCATCAACTTGAACTTGAAGGCCAAAAATAATTTGATTAATCTAGAAAATAATGTTCAGATGAATCAACAATAAACATTTTGTTTTTTGGTGAGCTCAATAGTGTGTCCCTGATTGCGTTACAAAGAAATGTGGATGTTTCCCGGATGATCGGATGTTGTGGTCTGTCTGTGTGTACATGTGTGTATCCTGTTGCAGCTGTGTGTGTATTTGATGATCCCTTTGGTACACTCCATTAACAGCTCGCCCATCCCTCCACCCCTCTTGCATCCTGTCTCTATACTCATTCCCCTGTTCACCCCTGTGTTTGTTTCCACTCTTCCCCTTCATTGATATAATCTGATCTCATCATCTGGATGGACATCTCTTGAAAGGCCACTTACTGTCACCATGGTAACGCACAGGGACACATGCCACCGTTACCTGGTCAAGCTTTTTGGACACTTGTGATCACTCTTCCAGATACAAACACATCCGCAGCCATACAGTATACACACTTGCTCTTAAACACACACCGAACTGCAGGTTCAATTGTGACATACAGGAAAACTAAAAGATATTCAAAGGAACCGATGTGTGTATCAACATGCTGGTAACCCCGCTGGGAGCATTAACTGCACTTTCAGTACATTCTTCTCCTCAACAAGGTGACACATTTAAGAGCATGCTTCCGTAACAATGTATTACATCTCACACACACAAACGTGCACACACACACACCACATACACCTTCTCCAAACGCCATTATAAATCTTGCAGACAGCCATG